AAAATTGTAAAAACAACAAAAAAAAACCCAAAAAACAAAGACTACAGACCATATAAACTCAAGAAACAGATGAAAAATCAAGAACCTCTGGCCAACACTTAAAGCTTGGTCTAAACTATTACTAAACACAGACCAATTTTTAGTTGCAACAATACACAAAACTCTCTCTAAAGCTATCTCTGCTATCAAATAATCTAAATATGGGTATAACTTTGCTACTTAAGATATTATAGTAAAGATTGCAGTTAAGAATCCCATAGTAAGATCTGTGAGTATTGACTTAGGACAAATATGGATCTCTTCCAGTCAGTTGGCCAGGTAGCTGTCCTCCAGATTTCTTGGGATAACCCAGTAAGCACGTCTAGGTTTCTATCTGTTATTAGAATATGGCCATTAGTATTCCAACAATTCTTAGGGTCTTAAGTTTTGTCAGTAGCTTCAATGTGGCTTAAATTTCTTCCTTCATCATCATTAGTTCTTGTTCATATAGGACATCTTAAATATTTGGTTCCATGCAAATTTTTTTTTTTTTTAAAGTTACTCTTTGTCTCCATCTATTCTGATGTTTCATGGATCACTTAAAATTTTTCCCATATCATCCTTCTGTATTGCAATTTGGGGCTTGGATTTGTTCTTCAGTTCCTTCACCTTGAGAATGCTGAGTGAGTTCTTCCCATATTTCCTGACTCCAGCTTTTTGCACATTTCATTGTTAATACTTTGCTTTGTCTTCTTGAGTTGCCCTTGGAAATCTATGTTTTTCTCCTTTACTTCGGCTTTTCTCTTTTATTTTGGCTTCTCATTATTTTAGAGCACTTTTCTGAGCATGTTTTTAGAGTACTCTTCTGACATCCATTTTGGTCTTTTGTTCCTCCTCTGTCTTTTTATCATTTTTTTGCTTTCTTTGTCTATGATATTCTTGATGTGATATCATAATAAATCATCTGTGAAGCTGGACTCTAAGAAGAATGTGGCACCAGAATAGGACTGAGCAACAACCTGTGGTATGCAAATGATACAACTTTGCTTGCCAAAAGCTAGGAGAAGCTGAGATGCTTATTGTAGAAGATCAAATAGTACAGCCATCAATATGGATTACATCTTATCAAGAAAACAAAAATCATCAACACTGGGCCAAGAGGTAACATCATGATAAATGAGATTAGACTGAAGTGGCTAATAATTTCAGCTTGCCAGGATCCACAATAAGTATCACTGAAAACAGCCAAAAGGAAATAAAAAAGGGGTAGCCTTCGGGAAGTCTGTGGTCAAGGGCTTCTGGAAGGTTACTTAGGAACAGAGATGTCAATTTTGAAGACTAAGATGCACTGATTCAAGCCCTGGTCTTTTCAATTGTTTCTTTTGCATCAGAAAGCTGGACAATGAGTCAGGATGATAGTAGAAGAAGCTATGGCTTTGCATTATGGTGTTAGAGAAGAGTAGTGGGAATCCCATCGACTATTTTAAAAAAACCTAAACAAATCTAAACAAATAAGTATATCTTTGAGAAGGTACAATCAAAGTGTTCCTTAGAAGCAAAGGTGATGAAACTCTATCTAACATACTTTGGGCATGTAGTAGAAGAGGCCAGTCTTTGAGAAGGAAATAATTCTTAGAAAGGTGGAGGGTCAGCAAAAGCAAGGAAGACCTTCAACAGGATTGACTAACATAGTAACTGGATCATTGGAATCAAGTACAACAGGGATGATAGGGATGCCACAGGATAGGGTTCAGGTCTACTGTTCATTGAGTCACTGTAAGTTGTGGTCAACTTGACAGCATCTAACAGCAGCATTAAACTTTAACTCTGAAATAACTGGTTAAGAAGAGAACCTAAACAGGCTGGCCATTTTTATTTACTCTCATTCACTGCTGCCTAATCAGAACAGACTCAAAGCTTACCCTCCATTGGGTTTCCCAGGCGGTAAATTGCAGGGGAGGAGACTGTCCATCTTTTCCCATGGACTATCTGGTGGACTTGAACCATCACAGAAGAGCAGTCTTTGGATTTACAGTGCAACTCCCTATGGACTAGGCCACCAGATCACCAAAATCATCTTTGAACTTACCCATGAAAATACTCTCTCTTGTTTCTGGGTCCTTCACCAACGTTGGCTGAGAAGGATCTCCTAAAGGTATGTTCACATTTGCCAATATTCTATTTACTGACAAAGAAATATCAATTAATATTAATGAATATATAATAAGAATAATATTTACTTTAATTTTAGTTAAATATTAAGAAATTCAAGATCAAATATGCCTATATTTACAAAGGAAAATTATCAGAAGAATACAAGATTCTACTTATAAATTACCACTGAAATAAAAAAAAAATCTGATTTAAAAAGGCCATAATGATTTAATATAAAAAAACGCCCCCTATCTTACATGTAATTACTAGAAACCAAATAAACCAATTCTAAGACTCTTCCATCAATAAGAAGTTAAATATTTTGTATATTGTTTAGGAAAATCTGAAAGTATGTAATATAGTTTAAAAATAATATAGTAAAATATCTATTTTAACTGTAGTTGAGTATATAAAAGGTTATGGTTCATTCAACTACTCAAAAAATGAGGAAATGTTTTATATTAACTTTTGAATGATTATTTTTAAAAATAAAATCTTTTACATTATAAATGTGAAAAAACAGGATTATATTTCAATATATGCAAATAGTTTCTTCTCAAAGCATTATGCTATTAAAATCTCTAAGTTTCAAAAAAACAGATCATACTTCCTTCACGTTCATCAAGACAAATTCTTTTCCTATTAGTTATTTTGTTGACTTTTCTTGTTTCTTTATTTGCCGCCTTCTCTTCTTTAAGTGTCACTACTGGGGATAGTATCCCACCAATCACAAATCCTCCTGAAATTTAACAGAAATTACAATTTAAAAATATTACAACTGATAAAGTGAAAAGCTTAAAACAAATATTTTTAAATTCACACAGCACATTCCCTTTCAAAATACCACAGAAGATACTATTACTACATTCCATTAATTACAATAACATAGACCCCAACCAATTTCATTTCTCTCTCTACTGTTCTACATCTAGAAGCACTGATCAAATATGTGGCTTGCTTGAAATCAGATCATTAGAGGAGGTTAAAACAAAAACAAAACCAAAGGCCAGGAATAAGTTATTTATAGTAATCCATATAATAGTTTTTTCATTTGATTTAGATATATTCATCAAAGAAAAAAAAGAGTTTTAAGATAATACACTCTTATGCCCAAATTCCCGTATTAAAAATATTTAGTAAAACTAAGATAAAGAAATTGGGTGAAAATAGTAATGGATAATATTTTACCAGTTATAATTTCCTCATTTCTGATTTAATGTTTCACTGTATGCATTCAGAAACTTTGCTAGTAACATATAAACAATAACACTCATAAGGTAACACTGTCACTTACATGGCTATAAGAGAGAAAAAACAAAACACCAAAATATGGATCAGAATCCTATTCTATCACATTTTGAGGAGAGTAATAAACGAGATAATGTATATGCATATGTATGACAATGCCTAGCACATTGCAAACATAAACCAAATGTACCAACTTTATTATTTTATACTTGAAAGACATTAACCCCATAATATAGTTTTCACCTGATGGTCTTGCTTTATAATCTATTCGCTCCCCTCGCCAGTATTGCAAAGGTTTCAAACGTGTTCTCTTGGTCCTGCGAACGTTTGGTGTGTCAGACGGCAATACTGTATTAAAAAAAAAATCAGACAAAATGTGCAAATTTAAATGTTTAATTGAAATTTTTTCAATTGATATCATCTTTCAACATAAATTACTAAACAAAGAAAATTTTAAGATGTTTGAGGGGATAAATAATGTATACAGCATTGAAACAGATGAGGAAGAGACTGTTTAGGAGGAATATATAATTAGGTATTATTGCCATGACAAGAGTCCAGAATGAAAGCTACATAGTGGAGTAGATGGGGGAAGGGGGAACGGGAAATGGATTGCCACCGGATATATGACAATGAAAGTTTGTTTTTGGAGTTGTTTGGGTTTTTTGTTTGTTTGTTTTGTATTTTTTTGGTTTTTTTTAACTTTTCTAAGAGAAAAGTGAACTGGGTGAGGGGAGGAGCAGGCAGGGAGGAATGTGTACAACAATGAATAAATGGAAATCCAAAGTCTCTGTAAACTTTCATTAAAATAAAAAAAGACAAAAATGTGCCTATTTTTTTCTTTTAAAAAAAAGAATTATCAACAAATACCAGATAGATCATCAATTTAAAAATCTGATAATACTCAGGGTTGACAATGTTAAAGGTACATTATATTGTTATGAATCTTTGAGTTGGAGCCAACTCATTGTTGATCCTTTGGGTAATCAGAGGTAATACATCTCTGAATGGGAGGAGACCGCCAATCTTTCTACCATGGAACAGCTGGTGAATTTGAACCTTTAGGATAGCAGCATAACAAGAACGCTCATATACGAGCAAAAAAAAATGACTGAATGAAGATAACTATACCCAGTACCAGTCACACCATCTGACCACCTACAATGTCTGACCTCGGAATTGAGTTCACACAAATACAAAAACAGGCATAGTTATATAGCGGTATTTTCATGGTTCTACAGTTTATAATAGCAATAAATGAACAGATAGAAAACCATCTATACGGATCTGCATCAAGTAAATTAGTAGAGAGAGCTATGGATATGTATGTGTGTATATATACAAACACACATACACATATATCCATTTAATTTATTTGAAAAATACAAATTCCTATACAATGAAGTGGATTTATTGGCCGTCTTAACAAATTCCTATGATCTTATATATTTTATATCTGCTGGGTTCACAGAGTCACTATGAGCTGTAAGAGACTTGATGGTATATTACAAAAACAAGAGTGGTCTAATTCTGAAAGGGTTTTATTATCATTCTCCATACTAACTGTATTATTTACATCAATTTCCTTGTTTTTCCTAAACTTTTCAATGTGATCTGAAAGTTTACAAGATATATTAGTTTTTCATCCAAGCAATTCATATATATTTTGCTTTATGAAATGGATTACAATCTCCATGTTGTAACAGCACATTTCCCACTTCCTGTCTATTACAATCCTTTCCATTTACCTTTCTTCCCATCCCTTCCTGCCTTCTGAGTTATCCCTGGGCAAATACTACTCTTTTGCTCTTGTACAATTTCTCGTCTTAAGGAGAATGTTCTTCCAGTTTAGTGTTTACCTTACAGGCTTATCTATTGTTTGCTTAAAGGTTGAATCACCATGACCTTGAGGGTTCTACTAGTATCTATCAGACAAATGAAGCTGGACTTTTCATAATCTTTAGTTTTATTCCACATTTTCTCCCTTCCCTCACTCTATCCAGGAACTTCAATTGTGATACCTTTCAGAGTAGTCAGAAGTAGAAGCACCATCTAGTTTCTCTAGTCTCAAGGTCGTCGAGGATGGTATCTGTGTGGTCTATTAGTCCAGAAGTCTAATTATCTTAAATAACAAGTTTATACATGGATGCTACCAAATGGGCTGCATAGGAATAAAATTGACTACATGTGTTGACATGTTGTATGGAGAGACAGGTCCTTGGAGAAAGACATCATGCTTAGGAGGGTAGAGGGACAGTGCAGGAGGGGAAGGACCTCTATGAGGTGGATTGATTCAGTGACTGGGGTAATCAGGATGGCTGTGTCACAGACAGTGCAACTGGCACAAGACAGAGCAGAGTTTAGGGCTGTTGTACATACAGTCACCATGAGTCGCAAGCGACTTGATGGCACATAACAACAACATTTGTGGAAGGAATCATTGGAGAAGTTCAATATTGGCACTACAGATATCACCAATGTCAGATGGATCTTGGAAGAAAGTTAAGAGTACCAAAAGAATGTCTATCTCTGTTTCATTGACTATATGAAAAGCATTTGACTGTGTGAATCACAACAAACTGTGGTTAATCTTGAGGAGAATGGGATCCCAGAACACTTAATTGTGCTCATAAGAAACCTCTACTCAGACCAGAAAGCAGTCCTCAGAACAGAGCAAGGAAACATTGCATGATTCAAAATCAGAAGAGGAGTGCATCAGGGATGGATCCTTTCTCCATACCTTTTAAATCATTCAGGAGGCTAGGCTTTATGAGGAGGAATATGGTATCAGGATTAGAGGAAGACTCATCAACAGTCTTCATTATGCAGATGATACAACTGCTCGCTGAAACTGAGGAGGACCTGAAGAGCTTGCTGCAGAAAGTCAAGAACTATAGTCATCAATATAGATTGAAGCTCAACATCAAGACATAGATTCTCCTCACTGAACCAACTGGCAGCACCATATTAGATGGAGAAGAGATTGAGGTTTTTAACAGTTAAAGCTTGCTTAGCTCCACAATCAGCAGTCTTGGCATCAGCAGTTAGAAAATCAAGAGTAATTGCACTTGGAAAATCTGCTATTAGGAACCTCTCAAAAGTACGACATCAGTCTACAGACTAAGGTGCACCTGATTCAGGCCACGGTCTTCACAATTACTTGCTATTTGCATTAGAGAGCTGAACAATGACTAAGGATGATAGAAGAAGAATCAATGCCTTTGAGTTGCAGGCTGGAGAAGTCTTGGATATACCATGGACAACCAAGAAAATAAATAGGTCTATCTTGGAGAGGGTGAAACCAAACCTCTCTTTGGAGGCTAAAATTCTGAAGCTCCATCTCAAATATTTTGGGCATGTGGCCAGGAGGGACTAATCCTTGCAGAAGGACATCATGCTTGGAAGGGTGGAGGGACAGTTTGGAAGATAAAGACCCTGGATAATATGGACTGATATAATAGGTGGGCTAGTGGATGTAGGTCAGCAAGATTGATTCACGATATGGCAGGCTTCAGAGCTATTGTACATAGGGTTGCTATGAGTTGCAGGTGACTCGATGGCATATAACAACATAGGCAACATACTAAATCACATAGGAACCATCAAAAGAAGATGGAAAGAAAACACAGAATCGCTGTACAGAAAGACCTGATTAATCCAGAAAAATTTCAGAAGTACCATATGGGCAGGAGCCAATGGTAATGACGGAGGAAATGGAAGATGCACTAAAGGCATTGGCAAAAAATAAGGCCCCAGGAATTGATGGGATACCAATTAACTAGTTTCAATTAACAGAGGTCGCCCTGAATGGACTTACAAGTCTATGCCAGGAACTTTCTGAGAGACAGTTATCTGGCCAACAGATTGGAAGAGGTCCATATTAGCTCCCATTCCCAAGAAAGATGATCCTTTTCATCCATAGAATGAACTATGAAACAATATCTTTAATATTACATACAAACAAAATACTGAAGACCATTTAAAAATGGCTACAAGAGCACATACATAGGGAACAGAAGTTTAAGTAGGCTTTAGAAGATGCCACTGAACCAGGGATATCAGGGCTGATGTCAGATGGATCCTGGCTAAAAGTAAAGAATACCAGAAGAATGTTTATGTATGCTTTATTGACTATGCAAAGGCATTTGATGGTGTGGATCATAAAAAGTTGTGGCAAACACTGAGAAGAATGGGGATCCCAGAGCACTTGATTGTGCTCATGCACAACCGATGCCTAAGCCAGGAAGCTATTGTGCAAACAGAGCAAGGGACCACGACATTGTTTAAAATTAGGAAGAGAGAGCACCAGGGTTGTATTCTGTCTCCATACCTATTTAATTGATATGCTAAACAAATACTTCAAAAAGATGGATTCTAAGAAGAATGAGGCATCAGAATTGGAGGGAGACTCTTCAATAACCTTGCTTGCTGAAAGTGAGGAAGACTTGACCCACCTGTTGTAGAAGATCTAAGAATGCAGTCTTCAATATGGATTTCATCTCAAGTAGATTAATAGTCTTCCCACTAGACCTATCGGCAACATCATGATAATTTGGAGAATGAAACTGTTAACAACTTCATCTTACTTGCATCCACAATTAACACCCTTGTTACCAGCAGGCAGGAAATCAAAAGATGTATTACACTGAGAAAGTCTGCAGTTAGGGACTTCTCCAAATTATTAAGGAGTAATGATATCAGTTTGAGGACTAGGTGTGTCTGATTCAGGCCATAGTCTTTCTGATCACTTGCTATGTATCTGAGAGCTAGACGATAAACAAGGATGACAAAAGAATTGATGCCTTTGAGCTGTGGTGTTGGAGAAGAGCACTGAATATCCTATGGACTGCCAAGAGAACAAACAAATATCTATTAGAGAGTGTGCAGCCAGAGTGCTCTTTGGAGGCAAAGATGTTAAAACTCACATACCTTGGGCATGCTGCTTGAAGAGGCTATTCATTGAGAAGGACATCATGGTTGGGAAGGTAGAGGAATGGCAAAGGAGAGAAACATTTTGATCAGTTACATGTACATACTGACTGTGAGAATTGACTCAAGTGTGTTGGAGATTATGAGGATGCCACGGGGCTCAGATCTGTGTTCATAGGCTTGCTATGAGTCATATTCTATTTGATGACACCTAATAATAACAACAACAAATACTGTTCAATAATCCTAACAGCCAGTCAATACAGTTAATCTGCAAGCTTAAGTCTATCTTTAGCCCAGGAACTTTTCTTCTGATACTGTTTCCACTTTCTCACCAGTTTCTTTTCTTAAAATTGTAGATATTTTCATACATTGTCTCCTCTCTCCATTATATTTGTATTGTTGTTGTTGTTATGTAC